AGCTTTTATTTCTTGTGTACTTGCATACTGGTATTAGTTTAGTCCCACAATCTGCGATAAAATGATCAGCTGTAGCACCTACTCCACTTTTATGTTTATGTATCTATGTCATTCGGATCTTCCCAAGTTGTACAATGTACTGTTGAGAAACCGAATTCAAATAAATCAATACCAAAAAAAAATACCATACACAGTTGACATGTGCAACCCAAGAGAGTTTGCAGTCAAACATCACACCTAGATGTTTGTGCTGAGTAACAGCACGGATAGGCTTAGTCGAGTCAAGGAAGTATAATGGTTGATCAGGAGGGATGAAAAAATATACATGGCTTCTGTCTTGTCTAAATTGGGCTGGAGTTTCCACGTTTGCATCCACATGACTGCGCTGTTGATGCGATGCTGCATGGTAAGGAGTAATTGTGCAGGGGAGGAATCAGAACAGATAAGGCCAGTGTCATCCGCATACCAACTAACATCGGGGACAACTGAAGGTAGGTCATTAACGTAAAGCAAGAATAACAAAGGACCCAGAATGGAACCTTGGGGCATTCCAGACGTTACAGGGAGGGGATCAGACAAGAAATAAGACAAGCGAACAGCCTGAGAACGAGCAGACAGATACGAGGATATCCACCGCAAGGCAGCATCCTCCACCCGGAAGGTGACCTCCAACTTGGCAAGTAAGCCACGATGCCAAACGGTGTCGAATGCCTTAGCCAAGTCGAAAAACACCATTCCCACGTGCTCCCCACAGCTCCTCTTTGTCGCTATGTCTTGGACAAGTCGAGTCACCTGGTATTGAGTTGAGTCGCCTCGGCAGAATCCCGATCGAGCTGGTGAGAGAGCCGGAGCGATGTGCAGGTAGAGGGAATCGATGATGACGATGAATTGCCGGCCGCTGTCCCGCTCCTGTTTGGCAAGCGGAAACGACATTTGTGGTGTGCATTGCGTAGCCCTGGTGTGTGAAATGCAGTGTTGAAACGAGCTTATCTATAACAAACGAGCGATCAGTTCCACTAACGAGCAAGCTATCGAGCGAGCTAACGAGTTTCATTGATGTATCCAATTATGATTTTATAATCTTGTTGAAGTTCGATTTCTTTCAGCTGGTTCAATCACCGCCGGCATTTGGGGTTTGCTGCTGCTTCACTTCGGACTGCTGTTTGGTGTCGAGATGTATTTTTAGCGCCGTCGTTGAGCAGGCTTTGTAAGAATAGACCGTTTTGCAAAGATTGCAAGTACATGTAACCCTGTTCTTTGCTGCATCGCGGGAGTAAACTTCCAAACGACTGAACGTAACTTTCACTCGAATGGAGAGTCGACCGAAGCCTGTCCTTCAACGGGTCAGCAGATGCAAAACAAGACATCAGTATAGAGTCCACCAAAGCTGCAACGACAACTGAAACAACTCAGTGTCGTGTAGCCATACAGTCACTCTGACTGCGAGTGATTTTCACTTTGCGCGGGACTGGACTCTCGATCGACCAGGGAGTCCTAAAAATACTTTACGTCTCCCTGGCATGGTCGACATTTGTACGAAGTACGGTGTTCGTTAGTGCAAACGAGCTGGCCGCACAAACGACCGGAGTTTCTGGCGAGCGAGCTAATGAGTCCCCGGTGAGATCGTTTCAACACTAGACTGAAATGACAATGTCATTGTACACTGGAACACCATGGGCGTGCAGTGGGATGTTTCTGACTGGGAAGACAACCAGTACAGACTTCACTTGCGGCTGAGCAAGAATGCATTCTGGACGTTGCTCTGTGACACATTACAGATTGCCAGTTTCCTCTGCAAAGCGGCTATCGATTACTTTGCACTGGATTGCGCATGGTTTGTCCATGGCACAACTAGCCTTGATTTATGGAATTGGGAAGTCCACCGCTGTCGCCATTGTGCACGACACAATTTCAGTACTGAAGAAGCAGCTGGCCAATAGAGTGATTAAATTAGCATGTATGCAAGTCACGTGTCGGTTTACTCAATTGAATTGTTTTGCAGTCTCAATTTCTGCCTTGATCTATGGCGCTACATGCAAATCTCGCCTACATACGCAGTCTGACCCAATACATGCATCATGTTTCTCCTGTATGCTATAGTCTGCACTGTGCATCATCGTCTCTTTTTCCACATTCGCATTGTGACCGTTCAGTTGTAATTTGTTCCCTTGCTGTATGGACTGTAGATGTTTTGCAGCTCAGGTTACGGTTTGAACACTGCCTCTGTCTCTTGCATACATCACAGGAACTCTTACAAAATATTTGTACTTTGAGGTACATTATGATGAACACCGCGCACACACTCATACCGACAGTGTGTGTGAATTGCTTTGCGAGAAGCACGATGGTGAATATTGTCAACATGGTTATTGTCCTGCAAGCAAGCCTTTGCTTGTCATGACTGACCTGACTTGTGCTAAAAAATATGGATATGGATTTACGCCGGTGATGTTTCCTGCAATGGTCTAGAGGGCACGTTAGAAGCAAGTGCCAATAACAGCTACTGTATACAGGGAAAGAAACTTAATAATAAGTACAGACTGATAAGCCAAGGCTTCAAACAGAAAGACGGACTGTCTCAGACATAATATACAATGTATCTACTTCTCAAGGACACCCTTGATCAGCTCAGCCTGAAAGGACATGACCGTCTTCAAATTGTTTGTGAGGAAGGTTTGTTGGTTCTCCTGCAACTTGGCAGTAGTGTCAACAAGCTGCGTTCGGAGCATGGTGGAGTGCTTCTCCGAGCGCTCTGCCATCTCCCTGTCATGCTGGATTGTCCTCTCGGAACGCATGATAACATCCTCCATCTTGACTTTAGACGTACTGGCATAGATGTCCAGGAACTTGTCCATAGCAGACCCTTGCCTCGCCTGGGCACTTTAACCCCTGGCTGCATGGTGGCTGCTACTTGCTGTAGCCTCGTCTGGTGCCTTGAATGCCCGTTCTGCTGGTGGACGACCAATTGGCGTTGCTGGCGTCGCCAGGCGCTTGGCGCCTACTTGGATGTCGTCACTGTCACTCTCTGATGACGACATCTAGTCCTCAACCAGAGATGCTGCACTCGCGGCTGCAACACCTGGCTGGGTGACTGCTGTGGCAGTAGCCACTACAGGTGGTGTTACTGCTGTCGCTGCCAATGCAGGTTCCAATGGCACTTGTATGGATGCCACCTCCACGACAACTTCAGACGACGCCGGACTAGTGTCTACGGAAAAACTGAATCCCAGAGTCGGGTGGTTAGCAAACAGCTCATAGAAGAGCTGAAAATGGAGCCACTTTGCAACCTGTAACATATCGAAGTAGACAACAAATAGAGTTGCCATGAAAATAATGTATGATACATTTGCACACAATTTCTATGAACGCGCACCCAGACGTTCTTCCAGTATATTCAGAAAGATTTTGTTCTTCTGTCATCTTCCTTTTACAATGCTCAATCACCGCACATCAGACTTTAGTAAATTTTATTTGTAGAAATAACGTACTTTAGATTCTCAGCCTTGCAAATATTCAATTTGACAAAGATACTCACATCATGAACATGATTCCAGTCAATGTGCTCTGCTGGACTGGCATCATCGTCATCGGAATCGGCAGGGGATCCCGTCTGAGGCTTCTTCTGCTTCAGCAGAGGTCAAACATGCTTCAGGAGTAATCTTTTCCCGGTGGCCTGCGGAGTTTGGGAACAATTTGAAAACAGTATTGGTGTTGGGGAGTACGAGACATGACTGGCGCATGAAAAACGAGGACGAACTATTATTCCATGATTTGCATGGGACAACGACAAGTGAATCGTACCTTCAAATACTCAATCTTGTTCTTGAGCTTCTTGTCGGTCAGTTCCACCAGCCACTGTGGCACTTCCCGTTAGCCTTCTCCAGCACACTTCTTCAGCTTGTCCAAGATCCACGCTCTCTTTCTGGTATTTTTTTTCAGAGTGGTCTCATACTTGGTTTTTGCTTCAAACCAAAGCTCCAGTGCTACTGTCCAGGATTCCATGATGACCGACAAAAAGGCAAGGAGAGAAGTTTCACCAACAACGAAACCAACCACGAAAGGCGGAAAGTGGCAGAACACGATGCAAGCTGCAAGATGCGCTTTGAACGAATTTATTTGTCCCGCCACTGCGCCAAAATGGCTGAAAGTGGCTGAATCCATTCAGCGCTCCTATTCAGCGCTTTGAGAACGATGAACTTCTGAAAAAGGCTGAAGCCGAAAATTCAGCCGTTTCCGTAGCGACGATAACGTCAAAAAGCTGAATGGCTGAATCGCCCTTGGTGTGACCGCGGCCTAAACCAGATCATGATCGGAGAAGTCGCAGGGAGACATTATTACATCTCTGACTGCATACAGATTTGTGGGGATATAGCCAACTGAAAAAGCAGATGAGCGGGTGGTCCGTGTCCCAGAACAAACTTTGTTCAGGCGGTTAAGGGGAAGTAGTAGCGACTTGTTTAAGCTTTGACACATTGGCCTATTGGTCTGGAATGAATCAATGTTCAGGTCGCATAGCTCGCCCTGGATGCAGTGGACAAGCTCCTGAACACAGCTCCAAAATTGAGCATCAGCTAAAGGAGGACGATACAAACAGCCAAGAAGGAATGTTCTCCCAGTTATCTTCTTGTCAGAGCCTTCTAGGTTCAGCCTGGTCCCATAGCTCAGTAGTCGTGGCATTGCTCATGACAAGCAAGGTCCCGGTTTCGAGTCCTGGTGGGTCTGGAGGTTTTCTCTTTTCAGGCAGTTCACTTCCCGACTGTTCTTTGAGTTTGAAGTTCTCCTAATCCTTTCAAAAATAAGTGCAATATCGCCAACTATTTACAGCATGAAACAACGATGTGTTTCAGAAAGCATACACATATGTGACGTGAAATTACAACGTAATTACGTTGTGTGGGACCCCTCTATTGTTGTTTCCAGAAGCGAATGAAGGTGATGTGAATTCAAAATTAGATATACCATGGTTATCTGTGCGCAACATAAAAGAGTGAGATTCTTACCGGTACAAACATTATCCTTTTTAATGAACCCATTCTTGCACTCGCACGTGTAGCTTCCTGGCTGGTTGTCACAATAGCTGCTACTACGATTACAGACATCAAGTATGTCACATTCATTTATGTCCATGCAAAAACCTGAGGGTAAGAAAAGAAAAATAATACTTGTAATTAATAAAATTGGTCTGACGAGGGGAGACTGGCCCGCAATATCAATAATATCTTGACATCATTGAAGAATTTTCATGTAAAGAGTGAATAGCAACTTTAGAGCGATTGTCAGTCGACAACCCCCTTTTATTATAATAAAATTATTATATCATATTGAAGCAGCAAACGGCACGGTTACCCTTTAAAACAATTTATTCATGATCATTAAGAGTGCATATCTTATAAAACCGGACAATGGCGTGCAAGTCGATCTATCCGAGTTCGCTCAAATTTTGCAGGTAGGTTTCCTTTGGGGTGTACATTGCATGCGCAAAACACTTGAAAAAGTCTCCGAAGGGAACCTTGAAATTGGCGTACCCCAAAAAAGGTCGCAAAATCACATGATTAAGGGCGTCTACAAACGATCCACGCCAACGCGTACGCGAACAAGCTACGAACAATAAGCCTACATTGCCCCACCTTTGATGGGTTCCCGGGGCAGCCCAGGTTACCTCAGTCAGCATCCCAGAAGACGAGGGCCATCACCCCCTGATGAAACAAATGATTATCTGGAAAATAGCCACATTACATGCGCTGATAAACCAGCGAGCTATATCCTCAAGAACTCTACACCTGTTCTAGCACCGAAGCCATTTGGATTTTCTTCAAATTAACAATTTAGAATTTTCCACTCCACCATGCTCATATACATTCAAACTCATACCTCCACAGGAAACCGTGCCATTGCGCGACGTCTAGTCCGGAAATTCTACTCCAACACAACTCCAAACCCTGCAGAACAAAGCGTATTGTTCTTGACCTTGGTAAGAAACAGCAGCGGTGGTCACTTGTCACTCGAAACCACATGCTTATCATTGCGCCACCAACATCTTTTACAACGACAGTTGAAGCAAAAGATAGTTAGGGTTTTGGTGCAGTTTTTGTTTTTTACGGGGTAGAGAAACGGTGAAATGTTGATTTTTAAATAACTTCGCATAGAAAAATTGGCAATGGAAGCCGGGCTTTCCGCATCCGTAGGAACGCCACCACTCTTCAAGGATCAAGGCGCAGATTCAGCTCCTAAAGCGGTGGGAGGTGAGTAGATCAGCTCTCCAGCAAGTGGTCAAAGACCGAAAATCCCATTCACCGCATCAATTTTGTGGAAGCCAATTTCAAACCAGGAGGGAGAGATACAGTGAGGGTAGCAATGAGGTTAGGGGCATCGAGGATATGATTAAGTGGTGCCTGGTGAGCGCTTTTAATGTTGGTTGAGGTGTCAGCGGACAACAGACTGCTATGTAATCCCCCCATGGTGTCTCCGACTCCCTAATGGCCTCGATAACTAGCTACCTCTTGGACCGAAATCAGTGCGTCACAGTAAATGGAACCTTATCTGACCTGGAGTCTGTGACATCCGGAGTGCCCCAGGGCTCCATTTTAGGTCCCCTGTTCTTCCTCACATACGTTAACCCTTTCAGGCCCATAGTACGGATATATCCGTACCAGTGTACAGTGCATACTTTTCAAAGCGCAACCTGGCAGAACTCGGCAGTCCCTTGCCAAAATCGGACAATCGAAAGGTCGATCGACATTATAATTGTCTCAGCTATCGGCTCGAAAAAACCCGAAGGCAATCCGAGGTCGGAGAGCGGAATTATGAGACTCAAACTAAATTCGCTCAGCAGAGTCAACTCGGGCGCATGCATTTTGAACTCGTTTTGGGGGGGTTTTCCCTGACTCGCAGCCCACGCAGCCACAGATAGTTTACGTCATCGCAAAGGCATGTTTCTCAGGTCTCATGTAAAAAAATCTGAGCGATCTGCAATACAATTTGTTGAAATGGCAGAGAGTTTGAGTCGGGCGCTCGCAATGCTGGCCTTGGAGCGCCGAGTCGCGCTGCGGCGCTGGTTCTGTGGATCCAATGATGGATTGTTGGCTATCGCTGTGTTCCTCATGCCAAGAGCTTTCCAGAAAACCCAAGATCACCAAAATCGGCCAAAGGACACCAAAGTTACGACCAGATAAGTAACTGGGCTCGCGTATGCAGTGCATTCCTTGAAATAATCGTGGGCCCTAAAGGGTTAATGACCTCCCCTTTGCAATTCCCAATATTTCTTTGTTTGCAGATGATACCACTGTCCTTGCTTCCTCCCCATCTCACGCCACCCTGTACCCCAATGTTCAGACCTGTATCAACGACATTGTTCACTAGATGAGCACTTGGTACCTTAAGCCAAATATGACCAAAACCGAGCTCCTCCTTTTCCCCCTCCCACAGATCCAGTGCCCATCTTCCACTTACCCGATGATCCCGGTCACCCTATCTCTGTAGCGCCCCACCATAACCACCTTGGCATTGTCATAGATTCCGCCCTCTCCTGGTCTCACCATGCTGATCGTGTGTCGTCCAAAGTATGCCGATCTGTCGGCATAATGTCAAGTCACTTGTCCCATTTGCCCCAAAATTGCCGGATTAATTTTTATAAGTAGAAAGAAAAAGGACATATGGAAACGAGTTAAGAGTAACTCTCCACCACTGTAACTAGATACTATATACAGCCAGAAAGTGCAACAACTAGGCACAAAACTGACAGAGTACTGAGACTGAGTACTGAGTACTGAGTTACTCTTAACTCGTTTCCATATGTCCTTTTTCTTTCTACTTATATTATTGGCTCAATACCCGAGTTTCTAATTTGTATAAATCATACATTCTTCTCCTCTTCACGTACGGCTTCCCTGCCTGGTCCACCATTAACAAAACCCACATAGGTAAATTAGAAGTTCGCCATCGCCGTATACTGCGCATCATATCTCGTACAGATCGTTATATCTCAAATCTAGACGTGTATGCTGCTGCATCCACTACCACTCTGCAACATTACCTTGATGCTTCCAAGTGCACCCTGGCACATTTAATTTTTCTTGACCAGCACCCTCCTCATTTACAGTCCCTTAATCGGTTCAATTCAGGTGGCACCACCTGAAGCTGCGTTCGTCTCCCCCTAGCTAGGTCTACCCTATTCGTAAATTCCCCATTCTTTTCCTCCTACTCTACGTGGCTCCAACTGCCTCCCAGTGTTAGACAAGCTCCAGATATGCCCAAATTCCGTACCCCGTCAAACAGCACTTCAGTATCTCCCAGTAAACAAAGTTACAGTCACCACTTCCACTGCATAGCTCGCTGAGCATCCCATTGCTTTGTAAGTTGCTAATCCCTTCCCACTTTGTGTACGTGCTCTTCATTTTCTTTTTTTCTCTTCTTCCGTGGTTGGTCTCACCCTCCCCTCAATTCAATTGGCTGCCTTGACATGCCACGAGGTGCAGAAATAAATAAATAAAAATAATTTTTCTAAGTTCGTAAAAATAATTTGGTACGGGAAATATGATGAGCGATTTTATAGCGTCAACAGAGTACATATAAAGTGTTTAGAGGTACACAGGCACGCACGCACGCAGACAGAAATACATGACCGAGTGTGTGGACAGGCAAAGTCAGACAGAGCATTCATGGAAAGGCAAGGCGTATGGAATGGAGGCAGCATTGGTGCTGGGACCATGGTCCCAAGCTTATCAATGCGTCGGCAAGTCTGGGGACTGTGCTACCCGATCAAGCTGCACTACATTTCCGGTCCGCCCAGCTGGCTGACATGCTGCCTCCTGCTGCCCCTGAGTCCGCCCACCCCAGAACCCGCCAGCAACATTATGTGAAACACTCCCATGCCTTCCAGTTGTCAAACCCCCTCCCCCCACCAAGTCCTCAGATCCTACACCAATCCTTCCCATTCGGCGTACCAACAACATAGAATGCTCTACCCTCTGCCATCCTGAACTCTCCCCCCATCTAAGTCAGCGCTGCAATGCTTCAAAGTAGCAGTGTACAAGTACCTCCTCGGGCAAACTTTTGGGGCTGTTGTCGACGTGTACACCACAGACTAGCATACTACCTGATGGCCTAACTCTTCTCCCTTTCTTTTTACCCTCCCCTGGTGCGCGTTGTGTGCAAGGATACCGAGACCTCTGGTCGCAGGAGTCCACAACGCCCCACCTACACAGCTGCGCTAGTGGATACTAGTAGTCCATCCCGACTCAATAGTGGTTTGTTCTGTCAACCTAAAACTTCTGTGTTCTAGTCGTTTCTTCGTTCTCCCTGCATGGAACTTTGTTATCTTTCATGTTCTTATTTTTGTCTCGAACCAGGTTTGTGTTCTTCGCAGAAAAATAAACAAACAATGGTAAGCCCTCACACTCCTTGGGAGTGCACTCCAGACCAACGCTGAAAGCCTTAAAGACCAGGCGAGATCTGGCAGCTTCTGATTTTTTCCAAGGGGACAGTGAGACACCTGGAAATTTGGTGACGGGTGTTGCTTGAGCTGATGGGGAGAATAGGTCCTGGAGGACATTGCTGGCTTTCTCATAGACACAGCGCCACACCAGGATGGATCGCGTCAGGGCGTAATACTCGCAAACTGTGTACAGGGGCATCCGTTCGAATAGAGGTTGGGCAGGGGTATGAGGATTTAAACAGTATACCGCTCTCTCTGATCTGCAGGACCCGAAGGCGACCAAGCTTTGAAGCCATGAGGGAGTTGGAGAAGGCGTTCGATCTGTATCAGAGGTTCTCCTCACTTATCACACTCCTCCAAGCCGACTGTCGTCATGTTATTTACAGAGCTTATATTATGCCTATTTTTGATTATTGATGCATAATTTGGGCTGCCATTTCTAAACCATTGATGGCTCAACTCGAAGTTATGCATAGGCGCCCTTTGACATTTTGGCTTCCTCGCCTGACTCCAAGCCCACATTTACCCCGCCTTGCTTCTGCTGTGCTCTCCTCGGTTCGCCTGAGTTTGTCATACGAGACAAATCGCAAAATTGAGCTGGGCATTGCTACTCATTTTGCTCTGTCCTGCCTAAGCGGGTTTGTTCTATCTCAAGATATGCGCACGAGAAACTCTCTCCGCTTGTCTATTGCGAGGCCTGCC